AAAAAAAAAAAAAAAAAAAGAATCTTCTGCTTGCAGTTTCTTCTCCCTACACCTGAGACCGGCACATCCTCTCTTTTTCCTACCAGACTCCAACACAGGCCGTCGCTCAGAGCCAGTGAATAGCAGATGTTTTGGAGAATAGATGAGCAAATGAAAGAAATGTCCTCAGACTGCCCCAACCGCGGGAAGAGGCCAGTTGGGGCCTCTCAAGGCCTGGCCATGTCTCAGGGGCTTCCAGGAAACCCCCTTTCCTCCATCAAGTCCCCTGTCTGCCTCCCACCCCTGCGTGCTTGGTACCTCTCTCACACTGAGGTCCCATGAAGCCGTACACACAGGCGCAGCGGTTGGGCCCAATGCAGCGACCCCCATTGTGGCAGCCGCGGTCACAGATGGCTGTGGAGGGAGAAAGGGTGGTGGCTGGAGGTCCCCCAGCAGCAGAGAGAGCTGGGGTTCACAGTAAACCCCTTTTCACCCAGGAATCCCCAGGATCTGGCCCAGGTTGAACGATAAGACTGAGGCCGGGCTCATGGCTCACGCCTGTAATCTGAGCACTTTGTGGGGCCAAGGCAGGTGGATCACCTGAGGTCAGGGGTTCAAGACCAGCCTGTCCAATATAGTCAAACCCTGTCTCTACTAAAAATACAAAAATTAGCCCGACGTGGTGGTGAGTGCTTGTAATCCCAGCTACTCGGGAGGCTGACACAGGAGAATTGCTTGAACCTGGGAGGCAAAGGTTGAAGTGAGCTGAGGTGGTGCCACTGCACACCAGCCTGGGCAACAGAGCAAGACTCCATCTCAAAAAACAAACAAACAAAAAAAGGCCGGGCGCGGTGGCTCACGCCTGTAATCCCAGCACTTTGGGAGGCCGAGGCGGGCGGATCACGAGGTCAGGAGATCGAGACCATCCTGGCTGACACGGTGAAACCCCGTCTCTACTAAAAATACAAAAACAAAATTAGCTGGGCGTGGTGGCGGGCGCCTGTGGTCCCAGCTACTTGGGAGACTGAGGCAGGAGAATGGCGTGAACCCAGGAGGCGGAGCTTGCAGTGAGCCGAGATCATGCCATTGCACTCCAGCCTGGGCGACAGAGCGAGACTCTGTATCAAAAAAAAAAAAAAAGAAGAAGAAGAAGAAAAAAGACTGTGACAATAAATGTCCCCTGCAATCTCCAGTCCAGGAAGAAGGACCCCCTGGGCAGTGGGCAGCTGGCAGCAGAGACCAATGCTCTGGGATCACAGTCCCAAGTGTGCGAGGAGGGGAGTCCCACGGGGATACTCACGCTGCCCACACACGGTGCCTGTGTAGCCCTTCTGACACAGACAGGATGCCCCCCGGCAGGTGCCCCCATTCATACAGCTCACACTGCACCCTGACCCTGGGGACAGGAAGGTGGGATGCATAGTAAGGTGGAGACAGGCCCCGAGATGCCCTCCCAGGAAGGCTGCAGGACTAGGCATGCTCAGCCCCACTCCTGTCCTTCAACAAAAGCAGCCCGGGCTCCTCGTGGTAACCGAACCCTGTGACCTTCTCCCTCCCCCAAGAGGCCACTTCCCGCTCACCTCGGCTCACCCCGCAGCTGGGAGCCAGCGTCCCATCCGCACAGGTGCACAGGTTGGGCTGCGAGCAGAAGCCCTCACCGCAGGCGCGCCTACAGATGGCTGGATGGGTGCAGCAGGTGGCAGTCAAGACCAGGACCGAGCCTGGGCCATGCCTGCTCCATCAGTGTCCAGGCTGCCCAGAACACCTCGGTGGACACTGCTGGTCATCTGCATCCCCGGCTCCGCTCATAGCACACCACCCCTCTTTTCATGGGACGTCCCCCCACTCTCAGGCTGGGCTGGGCAGGTGGTACGACCCAGGCTGTGGGTTGGTGATTCTGCCACAGCCATTGGGAGAGAACGCTCTTTGGGCCAGAGCTGCCGAGCTGTGAGGACAGAGCTGGAGGTGCTGGGGTTCTGGATACTGTGGTTGGGTGTCTCCTGGGAAGTGGAGTCAGATTCCGGAGACAGAGACAGAAAGAGAGGGTGAGGCCAGAGAGAAGCAGAGAGAAAGAGACTCAGAGAGAGAGAGAGAGACAGAGAGAATCAGATAGATAGACAGTAACCAACAGAGAGAGACCAGGTGCGGTGGCTCACACCTGGAAACCTAGTACTTTGGGAGGCTGAGATGGGAGGATCGCTTGAGGCCAGAGTTCAAGACCAGCTTGAGCAACACAGAGACCCTCATCTCTAAAAAAAATAATAATAAAGAAAAGAAACCAACAGAGAAAGACACGAGCAGAGATGAACAGAGATGAACAGAGAGACGCAGAGACAAAGAAACCAGAGAGAGAGACAGACAGACACAAAGAGGTTGTAGGGCAAAGGAAATGAACATGGCAGGTTGGCCTGGAACCCTGAGGACAGATGCAAGGGCCATTCCTGCGGTTCAGCCAGAGGCCCCTGGCTAAGTCCCCGTGTAAACAGAGCTGGACCTGCAGGCAGGTAAGAGTGTCCCCGGCCTGTGCCTCCCACCTCCAGAAGGCAGCAGCACTCACGTACGACACACTGGCTCCTGCCAGGGAATGTTCTCCAGCCCGGACAGCAGTAAGCGTGGAACCGGGAGCCGCACACATTCGGCCTTCAGGGACAGCGAGATGGGTCTGGTGAGCCTCTGCCCGGGTAGACATCCCCCGGGCATTCCGCTGGCCCCAGGACAGCCCAATCCACACCGAAGGGGTCTCCCAGCAACCCAGGTACCACGCACCCCTGCAAGATGCCTGGGCTGCCCCGCCTCCGCACACGTCCAGGACCTGCAGCCTCCAAGGCCCCATCCCAGCGGCCTTGGCCACCTGCCATGCACAACAGGGCCGACCAGGCCAGCAGGAGCCGGGCCAGGGGGCCCCTTGCCAAACACAGACCCTCCAGAGTCATGGCGTGTCCCCTGGAGGCTGCGGAGAGGAAGCAGAGTCAGCCCTAGGAGAGCCCCTCACCCTGGCCATGGGAGACCCAACACAACGAGGCGGGCAGGGTGGTTGCCAAATGGGGCAGCCCTGGGGCCTCTGGGAGCCCAAGGAGGCATCCAGCCCCAACCGGGAAGCAGTGAACAGTCAGAGGAGGCTTCCTGGAGGAGGTGTGATGTTAAAGAAGGGTCTTGGGGCTGAGGGTGCACAGCCAAGGCAAGACGTGGAGGGGAGGGGAGAGAGGGCCAGGTGGGGCCAGGTGGGGCCAGGTGGGACCAGGCGTTGCAGGAGTGGGCGTAGCGGTGTCATGGAGCTTTTGCTCATTTGTCAAGGACAATGAAGAGCCCTTGAAAAGCTTTAAACGGGAGGAGCAAAGTCAAAATGCATGTTAGGTGGAGTGGGGAAGGGAAGCAGGGTCCCCAGCAGAAACAGGGTGTCAGGAGGCTGGGGGCTGTCCAGATGGGAGAGAGAGGAGAGGAATGGGAGGCTGATGTCATGGGAGGTGGGGGGCGTTGAGGAGATTCCTAAAGTTCTGGCTGGGAAGGTGGAGCCAGGAGAGCGTCCAAGGTGTGAGGAAGGTGGTAAGTCGTGGGAGGCAACCACCCCACTGTCACTCAGTGACACAGATACCCCCACTCTTGCAACACCTGGCCCCACCTGGCCCTGTGTCCCCTCCCCTCCATGTCCCACGCCCGTCTTGCCTCAGCTGTGCACCCTCAGCCCCAAGACCCTTCTCTAACACCACACCTCCTCCAGGAAGCCTCCTCTGACTGTCAGGGCTGGATGCCTCCCTGGGTTCCCCTTGGGCCTCAGGGCTGCCTCAGGCAACCACACCACTGTCCCTCATTCCGGGCAGGGGGCCCAGGCAGAGGCTGGAACTTCCCAATGCAGAGAGTACCCCTGTGCCCAGCAGGGAAGGAACCGCTGCTGTGCCCATTTCACAGATGAGCAAACTAAGGCCATCACACCATGTGTGAGGGGTTAAGCCTGAGCTTAAGTCCAGGAAGAGGAGGAGGAGGGTGAGAAGATCAGGAACGGAACTCGCTCCTGCCCCCAGTGGCTGGGTCTTTCCTGGGTCATGAAGGACGGCAGGAAGAAGACCGGGACAGGAGATGACCGTTTGGAGGGTGGAGGCAAAATACTTGAGGGAAAGAAGCCAGACCAAGTGGCCTTCCTGTTCCATTCAGGTTCTAGCGAGGAAAGAAACTGGGCCTAGGTGGAGAATGGGCGAGGAGGCCTGCTGTGTGGCCTTGGCCACGCCCCTCTCCGGGCCAACCGGGTTGTCCAAAGGCCCCGGAGAAGGGAGAGACCCCTGTCAACGTTGGAGAGTTGGCTGGCTGGGGAGGGGCGCCCTCTTTTTGCTTCTCTGTTGTCCGGGTAAGTCGGCACTTTGAGAATCTGTGGACTCGAAGCAGCCTCGGGGCCTGAAAACCCTCCTCCCCCCACTCCCTCCGCCCCAGCCCCCTGCCTCGGGTGGGGTGGGGGAGTTAGGTGGGGTGGGGAGTCTCTGGCTTCATTTGCCTCGGTCCCCCCTACACACCGCTGCCTCTGCGAGCCACACCCTGGAGTTTGTGGAATGAATGAGCAG